TGAATCCTCCACTTTTGTTGATTTAAATCATCCATTTTGTTTGGTGTGTTTTTATTTTCTTCTCCAACCTTCTGTTCATCTTTATTATTATCATCATCATCACCATCATCATCATCATCGTCACCATCATCATCATCGTCATCATCATCATCATCGTCATCATAATCATCATGCAATGTGGGGCTCACAATGGCTCGGTATTTGTTGGTTAATTCCCAGAGGCAACGTTTATGTACCCGGACAGGCTTTATGTGCTGAACTGTTAAACATATAAAGTATGTGTAAATATATATATATATAGATAGATATTCATACAGAATGGGGTCTGGGTTGAAGATGAAAATAAGTTTGTTCCCTGGCAGGTCGTTGTTCAGAGAGTCAGCCCGAGATGGTTGTGTTGTTTTAATATCCTGACCCTGCTTGAACACGCATACTTGGCCGGAAGGGCCGCAAACTAGTAGAATGTGCATCACATGTGTGTTGTCCAACACGGCTATGCATAAAGACCTCTCCGGTTCTAGCAAAACACACAGAAAACAAAAAAAAATGTAGGTATATGATGTATCCAGGATATATATATATATGTATATATATATATACATATATATTTATTTATTTATATATATATATATATTTATTTATTTACATATATAAATATACATTTATATATTCATATATATATACATATATATATATTCACATATATGTATATTTTTAAGCATATAGCATATACTTACCATATCTCCAGCATAAATTCTCATTTTTTTCTTCACCGGATCCCACATCGCGTTGCCACTCGTTGCAGGTCACTATGTCTTGGTAGCACCGACTCCACTGCCGGAGCCAAAGCTGGTGATTCACTCCCCGGAGATGGCCGAGGCGATCATGGGGAGGATGCCAAGAAATATGGAATAATGTGGTTACCCTCTGGTTATTCAACATAGCCATGGTATAGATGGCCCATAGAAATAAATTGTTTACCTATTAAACATGGTGATTTTCCATGGCGATCTGTTAAATAACCAGATGATAGAAGAATAATGTGGTTAAGAATGGTTGATAATGGTTAATACTATAGTTAATGATGGTTAATCATCATATCAACCATATGTTTAGTCATCATATATCATAGTTTTATAAATGGTTAATGATGTGGTTAGAAGAAAAATCAACCATCCATTTGGTTAGTGAATGGTTTTATGGTTAATGAATGGTTGAGGAATCATAATGGTTAATGTTGGTTAATGTTGGTTATTCATTCAACATTATTTTGTTTTCTTGGACCCCTGTGTGTCAGGAGATTCAGGCGCAGCAATGGCAGGTGTGCCTTGAGGGCCCATAAGAGGCCTCTAGATACTGCTTGTCCAGCAGCCATTTTCCCTTCGGCACTTTTAGCTGCGAGCAGACAAAAGGTTTGAATGCAGAATGAAGAAGCCACTTGAGGCATGGGGTGATAACATGGTGCTCACATGATGGTCACATGATGGTGTGAGTGACAGGTGATTGAGGAGTCATTTGACCAGCGTTTCATCCTCTACATGATGAAGGCACCTGGAAACTGAAGTTGATGCACGTGAAGTTTGAAGCTCGTTGATGTCATTGAAGCTTGAACTTGATGCCAGACATTGATGAACAACCCAGAGGTGCGCAGTCGTCATCTGTCATCCGTCCATGCTGAAGTCATTGGCATGCATCAACATTATTTTCCATGTTCAAGTCATTGGCATGAATCAACAATGTTGATGGTTAATGTTGGTTAATGTTGGTTATTCATGGTTTGGTTTTATTTATGGTGATGAATGATAATGTGGTTAAAACAATGCCAACAACAACCACCTATTTGGGAACGGTTTTTACCACCCATTTGAATGGTGAAATTGGGGGGATGGTTTATTATTGCTTTGACCACATGGTGGAGGTTTCCTGAGTCCTGGGGGTGCCCCAGTCATCATCCAGTCGTGATGGATGACCATGACTTAGTATAGGTTAACCAATGGTGACGACTGGGGATCCATGACTTCGGAAAATTCCCTATATGATTCACAACATGTTTTTTTGGTTAGATCTCCATATGATATAGAAACAATGGAACTTCCAATTTCATGGACAGATCTACCATCTTTTTGCGCATTTTGTGCAAACACAAATTCAGTGAAATGGTTTCTTGGTCTGGATTGTATATAATGTAGGGGTTTTGCTGGCTATCCCTTATTTTTGGATACGCCCAGGCTGTCAATTCCGGGTATTTGGGATGTGCTATCCATGGGATGATTTTTCCCATGAAGATCAGCATGAAAACATAATGTTCCATTATGTTCCATTGCCACATTTTTTACGGTAAAGAATGACGATCAGACAATATATTTTATTTTACCTAGTAAAAGTTGGCAAAGATGATGGAAAATCTATTAGTAAATTACGATTAGACAATTTCCCCTATTATCAGAGGGATTCAACATCAAAGTTTGAACATGTAAACCCCTCTGATGCTGGAAATGTTTACTTTGGGGTTGCTGTGAATGGGTTGATTCAGGGCTTCAGGTAGGCTGGTAGTCGCTGGTAGTCGGTCCCATTCATGCATGTTTTTCCCCACCTGCCAGGTGAGGGTTGTTAGATTTTATCAGAGCTCTTCTCCTCCTCCTCCGCCTCCGCATCCTCCTCCTCCTCGTCCTCCTCCGCCTCCTCCTCGCAGTCCAGATCCCAGTGGGCACAGCCGGACCTCCACCGCGAGCTCCAGATCCCAGTGGGCACTGCCGGACCTCCACCGCGAGCTCCAGATCCCAGTGGGCACTGCCGGACCTCAACCTCGAGTTGCAGATCGCAGTGGGCACTGCCGGACCTCAACCGCGACTTCCAGGTCGCAGTGCACTGCCGGACCTCAACCGCGAGCTCCAGATCCCAGTGGGCACTGCCGGACCTCAACCGCGAGCTCCAGATCCCAGTGGGCACTGCCGGACCTCAACCGCGACTTCCAGATCGCAGTGGGCACTGCCGGACCTCAACCGTGACTTCCAGATCGCAGTGCGCACTGCCGGACCTCAACGGGAAGAAAAGATGTCAGATAGAATGTCAGAAAATATGCCAGATAGAATGCCAGAAAGAATGTCAGAAAGAATGTCAAAAGATATGCCAGACAGAATGTCAGAAGATATGCCAGAAAGAATTTCAGAAGATATGTCAGATAGAATGTCAGAAGATATGCCAGATAGAATGCCAGAAAAAATGCCAGATAACATGTCAGATAGAATGCCAGAAGATATGCCACATAGAATGCCAGAAGATTTGCCAGATAGAATGCCAGAAGATATGCCAGATAGAATGCCAGATAGAATGCCAGAAGATATGTCAGATAGAATGCCAGAAGATTTGCCAGATAGAATGCCAGAAGATTTGCCAGAACATATGCCAGAAGATATGCCAGATAGAATGCCAGATAGAATGCCAGAAGATATAACAGATAGAATGCCAGAAGATTTGCCAGTAAGAAAATGTATAAATGTCATGGTGGGGATCATTCGAAGTGAAGTAATTTTTTGTTTGCCCGGGTGGTTCAAAACCATCAATCCGTGTTGCTGTTTCCCGATGTGTTTGGTAAATCCATCCCCTAAATTGAACAAATCATCGTGCCCTACTAACATGAGTAACTACTATAGTGAATCACCACTCTATGCCACAGCACTCACAGCACAGTGTATGTACATATATATATAATATTACATGCAGATTGACCATAAATCATGATAAGTCCGTATGTTTTTGAAGCGACCAACCCAAATAAACTTTCTTGAACCTCAGCTTCAGCAGTAAGTTAGTTTATAAACCCCATTGTCTATAGATATACCTAGCATAAACCAACCATTAAACCGTTAAGCCACGTAGAATTCACCTGGTTTCCCTCAGCCAACTTAGCACTCACTGGGGCGTTGTTTAGTGCCATTCCTCGTTCCCACCGTGGCCACCAGGCCTTGGGTATCTCGCCCGAAGAGTGCCAGTCCAAGGACAGGTGCAGCAAAGAAACCCTATGATAAACTAACAGTTTGCTATGGAAAATGGCCATTTATAGTTGTTTTGCCAATTAAAATAGTGATTTTCCATAGTTATGGCTCGTTGGTGGTTTGTAACATATTCCAACATATTTATAAAATAATAAGCTATAAATCTAATGGATTCTAATGCTGGTGTCATATAGTTTATAAATGTTTATAAACTGGTTGGTGGTTGGTGGAATGGATAATATTTATAGATGGTTACAACTGGTTATGAACGGGATTATACATTATAAGTACTTATAAATGGGAAAGGGCCATAACTGTATTAGGTGGGACCCCAATGGTGCGCCGCGATCCAGTGTGACCTTCCGCAGTGGTGGCCCTTTTTGGTGTTACGGCGGACCGCTGCGGCCATGGAGCGCTTGGGTGAAGCACCGTGTACAGGTCCCCAAAAAAGGCGGTGCCCTCCCCACTTGTTTGTTGGTTTATAAAGCCCTTTATAGATTTGTTTTAGATATACATAAACCATGTTTGATTTGCTTAAGCAGACCAGCTTAGCTACCACTATTTTTCTTTACGAAACATAAGCCATACAGACATATACAGACTGCACTGTTTGTTGGTAAACAGATCTATCTTCACATAATTAGTCAGAAATTAGATGATGTTCATCAGCACCCATGTCACCATGTTCACCCAACAGTTCTGCAAGGCAGAGAATCTCCACTTCCCCAATGGTGAAATCTCCAAGTGAATCAGCGTGAATTGCCTTGAAAAATACACATTAAAAACCACCATGTTGTTGGTTCCATAGAACTTACCCAGCTTATCTACAGTTATGGCCCTTACCAGTTATATAAGTGGCTGAAAAAGGGCTATGGCTATAACTGTAGCTTTCCCACATCTACAGTTGATATCCTTTGACTATCAAACCATTTAAAAACCCTATAAAAACACCATCCGAAATTTCCCATCGCGTCTTGTTGGAACCCCCCTGATTTTTTGGGGCAGGAGTTCACCAACTTCTTCTCAGGGCAGCAGCAGATTGCCGGCGGCAAGCTGCAGTCTTGGTTGGGATCTCAGCAGATGTCTTGGTTGGGATGTTTCGAGAAATCGCAGGAAAGATGGATGTGGCATTTTTGTGGGATTTCGCGTGTGGTATGTGTCCCTAGATTTGTCCCGGCACATTTCTATGGAACCAAGAAACATGGGGGGTTAGGTGGATGACGATTTATGCAAGCTGTGCGGTTCTTCTTGAAGAGTCTGTGAGCGCCATGATCAATCCACTGACGCCAACCAATACAACGCTGCAACTTGCTGTTACCATGGGGGACTATCCCAGATCAAACATCGTCTGCTGTAGGCGTTCATCTATCTTTGAGAAAATCATAAATCCTTCAATCTTTGGTGAATCTACATTACCCCAGCACCCGAAAAATCCCAATGACTCGTGAAAAACCTTGGGTTCATTGTGCATGTTCACTACTATTGGTGGACAAAAAAGAGGCATTAGAGTACCAACATATCCTGCAACAATCTGGCATTTTTGATGGCCCGAAATAGCCAATTATCATCAATTATCAATGTTTGTAACTGGTTATCAACCTATGGGATTGTACATAAACCATAAATGGGGTGACTCGTTAGTACTTATAACTGGTATAACTCGGGCCAGAACTGTGATATCACGATTCAATCCTCGACCCCCTTTAAGAAGGACAGCTCCGCCAGGTGCACGCCCTATGCCTTGTCAATCATGGGAGAGCCCATGGTGCGGGGCGGTTCAAGGGTAAAGAAAGTGGCTGGTGTATGGGGGAGAACCGTGAACATGCTGGATTTAACCTTCTTTTTTGGGGATGATAGGTTTAACGGTTTAACCATCTTTATTGGGGATAGATTTGACCATCTTTGGGGATAGAATAGGGATTAGTGGAGGCTTAATTGGTGATGATAGGCAAATGACTGAATGTTTTGCTTGCCTCCGAAGATGAGACCATGTACGTGAGTGGCAGCATGGTGATGTGGCAACATAATCATAAGGAATTGGAATCTGCTGCTGCGCGGTTCAAGCCGGGGCATGGTGGGTCCGGTATATACCGCGAACAATGCCGCAGACCCGCACCAGCTATGCCTGCAGGGGCACCAGCTATGCCTGCAGGGTCACCATCTGGCCCTGCACCAACTGCCCCGGCACCAACTGGCGCCCCAGCATCAACTGCCCCGGCTTCACTTCGAGATGAAGAACTTTGTGTTGCTGCAGCGGGAGCAGCCGGAATACATTCACAGTCACAAACCTGATTGTGGTCAAAAGCATCTGTTGTTCGCCCGTGTATCGTGGATACTGCAACTGACTGACCGCAGAGATTCAGTGTTACACTTCGCTTCCACTGGTGTGCACTTATTCATTCACCTGTAGATATCTTGTGAACTATGATATCTGGGATTCATAGCCAATTTATCTGCTACCCCTTTATCTACCCAGTTTCCCCCTCAAACATATCTGGGGTGTTGGGAGAAATCCTGTAGCTGATATAGTTTTTGTTTGGATAATTATATCATAAGGAACCAACCATCATAACCTAGCAGACCTAGCAATACAATGGACATATTTAAGGGAGAATATTGCCTACTAATGATGGATATGTGGTTTCATAAGGTGCCCCATGTGACCCAATCATTGTTGGGTCGGCTGCTTGTGGTGATCCCAACTGGCCGGAATCTTTGTTCGTCTCTTAATCAAATATCATAATATCAGTCATATTCTGTTCATATCCATACTTAACTATCATATTGTAGTTTGAAATTCATAGTCATCATAGTTGTGAATTTAGTGCAGCCCTCGCACTGATGGCACTTTCCCGTGCGAAGATCCCTGGCTTGTGATCCCATGTGAAGAGCGTTCCAGTAAGGTGCAGGTCATGCAGGTTGATTCTACAGTAGTTGGTATGGTGTTGTTTCCGTTTAAATCCAGTTTTTACAATCCCTACACTTACCGCCTAACCCATTTAAGTGATACATATATATATATATATACATAATTATATATATATATATAGTTGTATTATTATTGTCACCTTAGTTGCAAAAATTACGATCACATTTTTTAAGGCCCATAACTGTATCAAGCGACCGGTAGCAGTGGATCACAAGGTTTGTTTTTTGTGTTTGTATGTGTGTTAGGTGCGTTGGTTCGCCAACCCACCAGCCAACCGTTGCAGGTTAGAAATTGCCCCTTTGGCAATGGAAACGGGCAGCTCGGCGCTTTCCACGGAGACCAGTTGTTGCTGGTGAAAGGTATTTGACCCCTGTACCCCTGTATATGTCGACTTTTTTTTCTGGCATAATACTATCATAGTACATCCCACATATCCCACGAATTTTCACACGTTTAGGGAGGAGGTCTCAATTTTCTTCAACTTCATCAGATCGATCATTGGGATCTCTTCAGATCATGGCGGTGAAGGTGGCGGAGGCAGAAGCAATGCCAACCACTGGAACTCAGAGCTGGGGCGGTGAGCAGAATTGAAGTCCTTTGTCAGTTCTGAAGGTTTAGTCTGTGATAAAACTAACCATTTGCGAGCTAGAAAATCACCATTGCCTACTAATATGTAAATCAAATATAAATGGAAAATGTGTAACTACCCTCTGATTATTTGACGGTCAACTATGGAAAATCTCAATTTTTAAGCTCGGTGCATCAAGGACTAAACGGGCAATTCTCAATAGTAAATTGCAACAAATTACCAGAGGGTAGCAAGTAGCAAGTCAGCCTTTTTATTTTGATTGGTTACACTGCACTAGTGCATCCGGTCACTACGGAGGGTTGTCTCAGTTGCGGTGGTGACAGCCCCGCTGTCCTTATCCAGATGTTATGGGAACATCTTATATCGTTGCTGCATACATAAGATGAGTAGAACTAGAGATTTACATTTATATCCTAGATTTGGGGGTGAACATGACCCCAATGGTTAAATTGTAGACCTAGGATAATTCTACATCGGTTATCATCTGTTCATTGTAGAACTTGCCAATATCGATTTCTGAACTGGGTCAAGGAGGGCCTACTGAAGTACTTAGTACAGGTTTGGTTGGGGGCACTCAATCTCCAAGTACTTTAAGCCCTGTGAAGTTGGAGATACCTTTCAATGTTCGTCCAAGTTGCTCAATCAGCATTGTCACCAGCCATTTCTAAGTAGATAACTTAGATAACTCACTCTAGTAGCGTTGCGAGGCTTGGTTTTTGAATTGGCCACCCTTTGGATCCTTTTGGTCTTTAATCCACAAGAACTTCAGAAAAAGAAATCCACCTTTTTTCACCATAGTGAACCAGCTTATAACATCTGGTTGGTGGTTTGGAACCATGGAATTTTATGACTTTCCATTCAGTTGGGAATTTCATAATCCCAACTGACGAACTCATATTTTTCAGAGGGGTAGGGCTCAACCACCAACCAGACATGTTATAAACTAACTTAGGCTCTGCAGACTCTGGGGATTTCACATCGATTTGGACCATCGTGATTGGAGCCCCGAATCCTGCACTCCAAAACCATTCAACATGAGACCATAAGACCATTCAATAAAATTCAAATTCTGGGTTGTTTAAACAAGTTAAGACCATGATGATGATGATGATGATGATGATGATGATTTATTTTCATTATTACATAATTGTTGCTATATAATAATTAGGTTTGTTTTTGTTTCAATTAATCATTAATCATTATGATTATGCAATTCTTGGGGGTGTAGGGAAGAGTTCACCCAAAGCCATGCTATACCCTGCTGCGCTCTAGGTATGGCGATGGCCGGGCCATTTCTGTAGGCGTCCACGCTTGGGGCTTCGGCTGGGGGTTGATCTGTTGGTCACCCGAAGGCTTCCAGAAACCTTGAAGAAGCCACCCGCTTTTTATTCTGATGCGGGCTAGCTGACAATGTGTTTTTTCTCTGCTGGAAATCCGTATTTTTGTTGAATAAATGTCTATATGTGTAACATCTACAGTAGTACAGTAGAGAGAGAGAGAGAGAGAGAGAGAAGGAGAGGGAACAGGGAACAGGGAACAGGGAACAGGGAACAGGGAACAGGGAGAGGGATAGATTTAGTGGAGGGTGCTGCGCAAAGCTAGTTTAAATGGTTTTGAATGCTGGCTTATGAACGGCATGGTTCACATCCTCATCCAAAACTGGCAGGTACAACGTTGCCTCGTGCTGGGCGGGTGTCATCCCTTTGAATGTCTGGTTTTTATCATCAGCACTGAAGGCTGATGAATGTTGGCTCTAAATGCCAGGGAATGTCTGAAAACAGGGCGCAATAAACTTTGGACACCGAGCATGAAGGCTATGTTGGCTGAATGCTCCGTATTCATCCGTATTCATGATCTATAGCGCGTTGCATGGGATTGCACAACCGTATTGGCATCATTAGTCGAGGTAATTTCATGACCAAAATTCGCAATTTTGTTGTAGCCAGAGCTACCCAGTGACCAGAGAACATTTTGGTCTCATTGAAAGGGCACACCCTTTTGAACAATACCCACCAAGCCCGCCCCTGAAATAATTAGTTCCATAATGTTCAATGTTCCATTGATGAATCATAATGATTTTACGCCAAGTTGACGCCTCGCTCTCAACTGTGCTAGGGGCCGCCTTGTATAGATTAGGTAGATTGGGACAAGACTACAGTGGTGCCACCCAGCTGTAAGTTGGTAAACCCAGATATTTCTAGCATGAGCAGTTCCCAACGCAAAAATTATTCCTTTCACTCCCATGGTTTCTCTGCCCTGACAATGGCCATGGACGGGTTAAACGTCGCAGGCGAAGTGGTGGTGAAAGGTCAACGCTGGGAAATGCAGCTGAAGGCGTCTGGGTGACCTGTTGAAGACCACGGGATGACCCCAATGGGATGACAACCCCAGGACATGGCGATGATCAGCCGGTGATGTGTATAGATGACCGTTATAACACATTTATGTCCCATCCATAGTATAGATTATCATATACCCATAGATAAT